TTATAGTAATTTTTCTGTCCCCTTGGAGATCTGTAATAAAGCTTTCGTTTTTTTTTTGAAGTGTTGTCGTATCTTTTTTATTTTCATTGGAAGACTGTAACGATTTTTTTTTGTTTCTTTTGGAAGTATTAGTTCGAGACTGAACTGATTGTGTATCATTTATGGCTTGTATGCCATGATCCCCCTTTTTTTTTCCTTTTTTCCAAGATTGTGTTTTAACGTTTTGGATTTATTTTCTTCTTTTGTCCTTTTGGGAGTTTCCTGACTTGGAAATTTTTCGCTTTGATCGATCCCAGAGGATATTTCTATGGAACTATTGGCCATCCTGTTTTCTTCTGTTTGTGTAGTTTGATTTTCAGCCAGTGGTTGGAAATTCATTGGTTGACTGTCATAGTCAAGTGTGTTATTATTGTTTGATGCTATTTTGGTTATCTACATAGTGGATAACCATAGCGAAGCTTGTTAAAGCTATGTTGTTGGCCACCTGCCTTTGTTGAGCTGGAAGCACCTTTCTTTTCGCTTCCAGAAACTTCAACACTGGTCTGTTCCACGTTTTTGGTTAGGCTAGAGCCATTTTATAGAAATCTGCCATTGGTCGTTGTGATTAAGAGCCAACGAACTGTACCTGGTGCCGATTCGTCAAATCGAGCATCCAGTTTTATTTTGTATGTTATTATGTTAGTACCATATACAGTTATGATGAGTAGTTTTTGATTATGATTTTGTTTGTTGTTTTTTTGTTTTGTTTGAGTTATTGAAGTCATTATGTATTGTTGCAGTAGTTAGAAAATGCTACTGTTGTTTCAACCTGATTGTTGTTTGCCCTAAATGAAAACTTTTCCTGTTAGTCCAGTTTTCGCTCTTACGTGGGGGTATTGTAGCATTTGCAATTTCATTGATTCTTTGGTGTATATTGAAATAAAAACCATTTTTAGTTGTTTATTATTTTAAAGATGTGTACTTCGGCAATTTATTTTAATGTTTTATTCGAAGTCGCCTTATAATTTTGATACGTCGTGGAAATGGAATATGTTACGTTTTAATTTTCTTTGTGTTTTCTTATTTTAGCGTTTGTTTAATTTCCAGTTAAGTTAATTCTTAAGAGAAATTCGTCATTCTTACTTGGGTCGAATTACTTTTTGCTTTGTTGGTTCCAAGAGATTAATGACCCCTTTATTTCATTTTTTGTAGTTGCCCCAATCCAAATCCCTTTGTCATTTACTTATCCACGACCCCAGCTCTTCTAACAAACCCTGAGTGCCGTTCGCACAAGTAGCGATTATTTTGCTTGCCTTATCTCCACCCCCTTAGTTTCAGTCCCCAATTTTCTATCCCTTGTATTAATACGCCATATGGTAGGCAAAATATTTTCGTTACAATATATGTATATATATATATATATATATATATAATATATATATATATATATATATATATATATATTTGTAAGATATGCTTAAGTTTAAATTAAGGTAAACTTAATTGTATTAAATTAAATTAAATTAGACTGAATATCTCAAGGTTCCTTACTACAAAAAAAAATATTTTGGATAAATTCTGGATGCTGGCTTTCTTTAGGGTAGACAAGAAGAATTTATATACACAATTTATGACCTTTTAAAACAACACCATTTATTTTAATACCATATAGAAATATGAAGGTCGTACACAATTATCTATTCCTCAGAAAAAAATTTTGTTATCTCCCTTTTAAACCAGTTATTTAATTTACTGTAAAAATTGTTCTAATTAACTTTCTTAAAAAACAAACAAAATTTTATTATGTGTCCATTCTTTTTAATCAATTATGATATGGTTTAAAAAAACATATATGGTACAAATACAACGCTTATTTCACAAATAATTTGACTGACCTTTTTGATTTACTCTCTGCGATGTTTCCGACGGACACTGATTTAGTCTCCGGATTGTGTTCCCGCAAAACTGTCCAATTCTCCAAACACGTGTGGCTCTGCTTCCTCCTTCCAAAACTGTTACACAAAACAGCACTCGTTCAGATTCTCTCCAAAATTAAACCTCCGACTCGTTTCAAAATAATAATAATGGCACTCTTTCAGCCAAATGGTTTTTCCACCTCGACTGGTTATCTCGTACAAACTTTATATAAATTTTCTTTCTTTACTTACAGAGTTAGAAGTCTCTTCGGACACAAGAAGTTTGGGATTCTCGACCTGGTCTCGATTCGCCTTGCATTGAAATGTCTTGGTTCAATTTTTTAAATCGACTGTCCTATTCTCCTACCCTCGTTCTTCCTATCCAATCATACACATTCATTTTTTCTACCGTTCATCAAAATTTCCCATTGTTAAATTTTAAGAAATCAAGGGTATTTTACCCACTTAGGATTTTCTCCAAATTAACAGAAGATAATACCGACTAAACTTTCTTTTGTGTCTATAGGCCAATCCGTATTTGTAAAAGATAACGTCTAGCATTACCTACGAAGAAAAATAATATACAAACCATTGTCTATCAAACAATAATTTGAAATTCTTATCTGATACAAAATCACGTATAATTATTTGTAAGATTTTAGCAATATTTAATACTTTCTAAATAACCTCGAAATGATTTTTCTATACAAATTGTCAGTCATTAAATTCTAAAGCATTAAGGGACTTAGCAAAAGTACAACATGTAACGTGTTTTTGAAGACCCCAAGAAATATTACGATCTAAGGCGAAGGGACTGGCGTCCACATCCAGGAGATCAGGTCATGAAAAAGGAACACCATCTATCCTTGGCAAGTAAAGCTTTTACCAGCAAGCTGATGCCAAAATATTTAGGTCCATACACTGTAGCATTCGTTATATCACCGGTAATGGTAAAACTAAAATTGTCGAATAGTACCAACCGCAAACAGGTGACAGGAAATCCTATCCCCACCTGAGACATACAGTATTTAAGCAGCGAATTCTGAAAACAGTACTTAGTTCAACCAACAAACATATATGAAAGACATACTAGAGATTTCTAAGGAAATGTGCCTACTAGGAACACCAGAGAGACCTTGCTGCCTGTCACGCCAGGGAAGGAAGCGCAACGCATCCTTAACAAGTTTCACCAGGTATTTGATGCGCCACCATTACCACCAAGGAAATAATTCCGACTTGACGGAAATCGTCTCGGAAGAACTGGTGAAAATGGGGACCAATAAATTCTGGGTGACCTGCAACAACTGCAGAAGAATAAATTTTTCAACTATGACACTCTCCTTCCTATACTCCTTCCTCCATTTCTCGTTCTCTGTATTATAAATATTACATTTCATATCACAGTCTCTTCATTACGTGTCAAAGATATGATAACTTACTTATTTTTATTATGTTTATTATTTCGTATTCTTTGCTCATTTCTCGCAAAACTTTAGTGTTCGTTTTCTTCTGTGTCCATGCTATTTATTTTAAGCATCTCTTAGGATATTTTATCCATGCTTTAAGATGAAATAAGGCTTTCTCTTATTTCATCGTTTCGTATCCTGTCCATTCTGGTCACCCTTAGTACTCTTCTTAGATACTTCATTGAAATACTTTGCAGTTTATTTTTTAGTCTGGTGGTGAGCGTCCAGCTTTCACATCCAAATGTTAAGATAGGTACAAAAACTGTGTTGTACATAGCTATCTTTGCTGTTTGGGATACTTCTTTTTTCGATAGGAATATGCTCTTAATTGCGTGGTATATCCGGCAAGCGTTTGCTATTCGATTGTTTATCTCTGCTTCTTGTGTACCCCTACTCTCTAGTTGCACTCCCAGATATTTGAAGGTTTCGACTTTGTCTAAAGTATAGTTATTGATTTTAATGTTTGAATGTTAGTCTATTTTCCCATATACCATGACCTTGGTTTTACTTTCATTAATTCTCAGATTACGTTTTTCAAGTTTATCTCTCCATATTTGGAGGTTTCTCTTAAGTGCGTCCTCGTTTCTTCCAAATACGACGAGGTCATCTGCATTTTAAATAACTGTTTATTATTATATTATGTGTTCTTACTTCAGTGTCCTGGTTTTGACAGTTCTAATTCTCAGTTCTAATCTAAGGTATTTATTGCAGAGAATTATTTTAATTTTTTTAAACGCAAACGTTTTCATTTTGTTTCCTTTCAAATATTTGTATATTTGTTTTCTTTGTTATTATTATATATTTGGTCTTTTTATATTCATTTAGTCTGTATTTTTCACAAAAACTGCTTGTCTTATTTAGTAATAGTTAGAGTTGTTCGGCAGAGCTTGCCATAATGACTGTGACATATGAATATCTTATATTGTTAATAGTTTTTCCATTAATTATTACTTCTTCACTTTCATATGACAATGCATCTTTAACAATGAATTCACTATATAGAATAAATAGTAATGGAGACGTAATACATTGATTTCATCTCAGGCGTTGTCTTATGAGTGGGTTCCTTAATTTACTTGCACCGATTTTTGCATCTGTTTTTCTTGGTTTTATTATTTTCATTTTGAGATTAATTTTGTCTGATTTCGTATTCAAGTCTTCCTTTACATTATGCAATGCTGTGACTGTAATATATGACTGTACTTTTGATCTCGATTATTACGATAATATTAAATATAAAATGAAAACTTTTGTGCTTTATATAAATTATAAATTTAAGGTGCTACAAATTTTATTTAAATTATTCCTCATGCATTTACTGATGCGCGTTTTTTTTTTCAATATTAATTTAGTAAAACTATGTTTAGTACAGTATTTTAACTTTTTTGTGGTTGTGGTTCTTTTATTGAATTATTAAAAAACTTCTAACCTATTTTGATATCTATATTCCAAGTTCTGACGATCTTGTTATATTAACATAAATGTAAATGTAAACGTCAACAAACTGGAAACATGAATTTTTGGATTTGATTATTAGTGTTTTTTTTAGTTTGTAAGTTACTAACGTATATTTTAATAAAAATCAAATAAACAATAATTTTATTTTATGGATACATCTGATAGATAGTATATATTTCAGCACGAAGTACTTCGGAGGAATTTAGCAGCGGTGATGCAGGCAGGTATAGGGACTCAGAGGATTATGCACAAACACACCCTCCAACTCGCGATAGTCGTCAGGATAAACAAAATAAGAACCAGGAGGAACGCGATGAAGGTAAGTGAATCAAACAAAAAATAAGTTTAGAATAATATACTTTCCCAAGAAAATATGAAACGAGAAAAGAGAAAAAAGTTATCGGACAAATGCCATTTTATAGGATAATTATATATTAGATTTAATGGTATAAGACTATCAGCAATAGCTTATTTGAAAGCTTGTCCCAAGGTCCTCTCAATAAAATTTTCGTCAAAATATGTATTTCAATTATTATCATTAGTTAAACACTTTAAACGCATTACGTTTGAACAATAATACTTAAATTAATAATTTTATCGCTTACTAAAGCTATGGTTTGTTAGAACAGTGAGCGACGCATAACTCACAGTCAGTCGAACGCCGCGCACGTTCGTCAAAATCAAAGGAATGGTTCTCTATGATAACGGTTTGTTAGGTTCTGCTGAGCTGAGCGCACTGCAGAGCGATAGCCGTGTACGTCGACGGTGTGCGCTGGAATCAACTGCGATTTGATTTGGACGCAAACGTTCAGCTGAACTCACAGCGTACACATCTATACCGAAATATAATTGTATTTTTATATAGTTATTATTATTGTAATAGTTATAATTAGGTGTATAATTAATAGTAATAATTAGGTGATGTCTTCTTTTGTAGGGTTTTTTAGTAATATCATCCCTTATAATTTGTAAGAGTTTCAAATAAATCCATGGAAAGTCTAAAATATTCTCAAAATTTTCCTCGTTTAAAAAATCTTCTTCGACAAGCACTTCTGTATTACGACATGAAATAATTTCGTTTACATTTTTATTTCTTTTATTTAGATTTGATATTATCAACTCTTGTTCTTCCTTCTCTTCTTGGAGAATTAACATATTGCGTTAAGTTTGCGAGAAGTCATTTTTCGTAAACGTACAACCTTTAAGAGAACAAAACTTGGAACTAATTTTTAAACTTCAGCGTAACAGAATCTATGTATGCCATACGACTCTAACAAACCGACTCACCCAAAACTGCCGTGAGTAGAGTACAACAGATTCTGCTGTACGTATATGCCGTGCCCTGCGCACTGTTCTAACAAACCGTAGCTAAGATTGCTATTTATATTTTTTTATGAAATTGCTTGATGTAACATGAAAATAGAAAACGGGTATCCATTGTTTAAGATAATTTGAAATGGGATTATGTAGCACTTAATACCTGATTTAAAACAAAATTTGAACTTCTCTTCAATGACACTGAAACTGACTTATCAAAAAATTTGTAGGTCCCATTCTAAATTATCTTAAAAAATAGCCCGATCAGTTATTTTTGGTAGGTACGTCACAATCCCGTAAAAACCATGGAATTAAATTATTATAACTACATAACCATAGATAAATAATATATACATTATTTACATAAAACTGACCATTCTGAGAAAATCCGGTGATAAATAGATCTGACATTTTCATTTTTTAGGTTTGACACCCGCAGATTTTTTTTTTTATTGGCTTTGGCTTGAAACCTTTAGCCACGTAATTACATATAAATAGTATTCATTTATACAGGATTGTACAAGGAGGACACTTTTCACGCTCGGGGATTCATCAGAGCGGCTTTATTGTAACAAACAAGACATAAACCATGGTTAGGTATTCCAAGGTGTTTCGTTGAGTCCTTTGTAGCTCTGTCTAGCGATGAACCCCTGTCCCATCTACTGAACTTAACTGACACAGGTTTTAGCATCAAAATAACACTACTGTAGCGATGAAGCTTAACCATATATTGTAGATAGATGATTTGAAAATGTTGTACTCGAAGCCTCCTGATAACATTAGAATGCACTTTGGTCTTAACCAGTGCAGTGTGTTAAATTAATTCAGAGGAAAAATTTAACCTGGCGGAATAATAATATTTTTTTCCTTTTTGACAAATACCATTTGTATAGGATTAGTCAGTATAGAAAGGATATTAAGTAAATGTAAATGTAAAAGTACGCTAAATCTCAGATTACATAGTAGAGTACAAACACATAATCAAAATGTAAAATTATAAGCATAGTACTTGTTAATTATTAAAGTGATTAAAACATTCATCCAAAGAATATACGTTTTGTAATAAAAAATCTTTAAAAATCAATTTAAATGTTCTCACATTCTTACATTTTTTATTAACTCTGGTAGCTTAGTATAAATACCACAGTATTGTTACCTGGGAACTATTATTAACGAACAGTGGAGCAATTTACAGGAAATAAAGTGCCGCATAGGAAAGGCAAGAACGGTCTTTAACAAAATGAGCGCCATCTTCAAAAGTCACAACATATCCCTTGATACAAAAATGAGACATTTGAGATGCTATGTTTTCTCTGTGTTGTTGTACGGGGCGGAGGCATGGACGCTTACAGACACCACTATTAAAAAACTTGAAGCATTTGAGATGTGGCTTTATAGAAGAATGCTGAGAATATCATGGACAGCAAGGATCACGAACAAGGAAGTTCTAGGAAAAATGAAGAAGGAACCAGAGATTGTGTTTACGATCAAACGCATAAAATTGCAATATCTGGGACACGTTATGAGAAATCAGCACCGTTACTCCCTGCTACAGTCTATATTGCAAGGTAAAGTCAAAGGTAAGCGCGGACCCGGTAGAAGGAGAATATCAAGGCTGCGGAATTTAAGAACATGGTTTAAGAAAACCTCAACGGAGCTGTTTCGAGCCGCAGCGAGCAAGGTTATGATTGCCAATATGATTTCCAACATCCGAAACGGATAGGAACCAGAAGAAGAAGAAGCTTAGTATATATATTTTTTGACCAATTATTGTACGTGTGTAAAAAAGCGTTTCACCTTTAGAAAAGGTTTTAGAAAAGGTTATATGTAGTTTTTGATTCTGTCTTGTATTTATATTGTGAATTTAACTAGTAGTTCTAAATTTGACGAGATTGGATTGAATAAAAACAAACTTTAAAAAAATTTATAAGCACGGTACAGTTAAAAAATTATATCTAATAAAATAACTTTTACAGCTAGTTATTCTAGAAATACCAGCAATACAACGGATTATTCTCTTTTGACATATCAAGACTTCACTGAATTTGCATTTGTCATACTGCAAACGAAAGTCCACCTGAGCATAATACAGTATGATTAGCTGTTTTTCATTTGTATGCCTTTGACGTCCGGAAGTGGGTAGCCAATTCGGGTTTTCCAATTGAGACATTCATCAACGTACAAGCCCAAAGACTTGTATTGCACTGTTTCAATTTGTTTAGAATGTATTGATAATTCGGCATCTAAAAGATGTTTTTTTTTTGTGTTGTGGAAATAAATAGCATGAATTTTATCAGCATTAAGCTACAAGTAATTTGAAAAGTCAATATCTCAGATCACACAAGAGTTCGTTACACTTAATTATTTTCAAGTGATTTATGAACTCGTTGCTGAAAGACCCGAGGAGATGATTTGACCGCTCATCCACAGAAATATTTTGTGCAGTTGTGTCCAAAGCTGCAGTTGCCATTTGGATCACTAACCTTCGAAAGGAGAGGACGTAGTAAGAAAAAGAATATGTGAATTATCTTATATAAGTATGGAAGTGTCATAAGTGTGCATATAGAGTAAACTGTACAGCAGAATTTAGTGAGACAATGTCATATAAGTAGGTGAGAAAGTAAGGTATAAGTTATTCTCCAGTTAATAAGAGTTTAATCTGTTAAGATAACTGTAGTCAAATATTTTCTTAAACACTTAAGGAACAGTTATATGTTATATTCTCAAAG